TTTTTTTTTTTTTTTTTTTTTAATTTTTTTTTTTTCAACGTTTATTTATTTTTGGGACAGAGAGAGACAGAGCATGAACGGGGGAGGGGCAGAGAGAGAGGGAGACACAGAATCGGAAACAGGCTCCAGGCTCCGAGCCATCGGCCCAGAGCCTGACGCGGGGCTCGAACTCACGGACCGCGAGATCGTGACCTGGCTGAAGTCGGACGCTTAACCGACTGCGCCACCCAGGCGCCCCTGTTTGTAACCTTTTAAAGGTTGACGATCCTTTCCTTTTCAGTAAATTTTCATCGGCCATAATATCCAGACCACTTTTAATTTTCCCAGCAGCCCCCAGAATGTCCTTTACAGCTCGTTTATGAACTGGTGTTCAGTGTAGGACCAAGCGTTATGTCTGGTTATGTCCATTATGTCCCTCACATGTGTCCTTTCTTTCCAGCACAATCCCTACTTTTTTATTCTGACTTAGTTTTACTGTAGAATTCCAGTCTTTTGGATTTGTCACATTGTTCCTTTGGTGTCCTTCAAGTTCTTCCTCTATCCTCTGTACTTCTTACAAATTGGAAGTTGTACCTAAAGGCTCAGTGGATTCAAACTGAACATTTGAGACAAGAATATACCATAGGGATATCCTATATTCATGCTATATCGCATCAGAAGACGTAGTGTCTGGTCATTGATCACAATGACCTTGGGTCAAGTTGATGACAGTCTTGTGCTTCCACTGTCTAGTTATATTGTTTCCTTGTGACCAGAAGGTCATCTGTCTGGTATTAATTCAGTGCTGGTAACCATTCTCCTATTTGTTTACCACCAATGATAAGCCTTGCCTGAATCAGTCAGGCTGTTTCTCCCACACTGTGAGAGGTGACTTTCTTCTGTAAAATAGCTCTTTTCCTTTACCAGTTGGAGCTAGTTAGCTACCTTGGGAAACAATTTCTGCTGGAATTAGGTATAGATATCTAGTTCCTTCCCTTTAACTCCCAGTTTTCCAGGTAAGAAGTTGTTTTAATAGCTGCCTCAAGTAGTGACAAATGAGTTTTCCCATCTTTATTTATTTATTTATTTTTGGTATTGTTGTGGACCCAGCAGTTTACATTGATTCAATGTATTTCCACCAGAGTGGGTTTTTCTTTTTTAGGCTTATAGCTGTCACCCTTTGGAAGCCCGTTCAAAATGTTTCCTCTAGCTCATCGATATCTGGAAGCTTTCTTGCCTTTAAATATTGCCAGTTCTGTTATCTGTGTCATTACTGGGTCAGCTTTGATTGATTGGTCTTTCTCTTATCTATGGTTCATATTTTTCTGCTGCTTTTCATGCCTGGTGATTTTTTTTTTTTTTTTTTTTTTTTATTGGAAGCCAGACCTTGTGATTTTCACCTTGTTATATGCTGGATATTTTTGTATTCCCATAAATATTTTTGGGTCTTGTTCTGGTATACAGTTAAGTTACTTAGAAATAGTTTAATCCTGTCACATTATTTTTAAGCTTTTTGAAGTGGGACCAGAGCAACGTTTAATCTAGGGGTATTTTTGCCTGTCCACTGAGGCAAACCCTTCTTAGTAGTGTACCCGATGCCCTGTGACTCGTGAGGTTTTCCACTCTGGCCGGCGAGAACCATCTGATGTGAGAGATTGACACTTCATCCTTGCGTGTGGTCCACTGCCTAGTATGAGCCCAGGGCCCAGGTCCGCAGATGGTTCTCTGTGCAGCTCTTTTCCTCTTTGGCCCTCCGCTCCAGGCTGCCAGTTCTGTCTTCTCAATTCACAGAGACCACTGGTCTTTGTGTGGGTTCTTCATCCCTAATCCGTGGCTTAGAAAGTCTCTCTAGGCAGGATCAGGTCCTTTATTGTCTGATGCCCAATGATTGGAAAACCGCTTCATATATTTTGTATTTTTTTAAATAGTTTTAGTTTTGGGGCGCCTGGGTGGTGCAGTCGGTTAAGCGTCCGACTTCAGCCAGGTCACGATCTCGCGGTCCAGGAGTTCGAGCCCCGCGTCAGGCTCTGGGCTGATGGCTTGGAGCCTGGAGCCTGTTTCCGATTCTGTGTCTCCCTCTCTCCTGCCCCTCCCCCGTTCATGCTCTGTCTCTCTCTGTCCCAAAAATAAATAAACATTGAAAAAAAAATTTTTTTTAATAAAATAAATAAATAAATAGTTTTAGTTTTAAGTGGAAAACTGGATCATCTTGATGGCCTCCTTTGTATTAATTGATTTCCAAAGTCAAGTTTATCTGTATCTATAAAATGGAAATAATACCACCACTTACTTAACAAGAGAGTCCTACCTGGAGAGTGAAAAGTGCATTCTCGTAGCACCACGTGAACGTTCTGGTAATGACTTCCCTACTGGATAGTTGCACAGTGGGCTCAAAGCCTGGACACTGGGCTCCGCAGTTGTCCTCTTGACAACGATGCCAGTTTGGGCGTCGAGTAGCTTCATGGGAGCGGATCTGTTATGTGTTCCCACAACGACGCTGCGTACTGAGCCAGGAGTGCGCACCGGAGACCTTTGCTCCTGCGTTCAAGGGTTCTGTGCTCTCACCTGGGCTTGCTGGGTTCCATCGTGACTCTGCAGTTCCTTGGTTGTCAGCCGGGTGGCTTCGCTCATCTCACGTGTCTGGTGGCTTTGAAAGCACTAGCTCGGCATCTTGACGTTTTTAACAGCTTGACTTTGCATTTCCTCTGGGGTTTTTCTCGTCGGCTGTATGACCCGCATGCTATTTGTTCCGTTCCTTCTGTGCTGCTTCTGCTTATTTTTAGTGCTTTAGTAATACCGCGATAGGACAACAGTCTCTAGAATATGCACTGAAGACAACCCACTAATACACAGTTGGGGCTTTGCTTTTTTGCATGGAATGTCTGGGAATGAGCAGCATGCTAGAATTTTGTGGTGAACTTAGCCTTGCCATGAATTTGCTGTTTCTAGTTAGAAGCTTGGGTGTGCTCTTTCTTTGCCCCGTTTACTGAGCACTTCTTTTGTTTTAAGGTGGATATTTTGGCTCAGATTGGTTGTATTGAAAGTCTCAGCCAGTCACCACCTTCTTCATCTTCTCCTTCTCCTACCATAAATAAGGTAAAATTCAAGCTTGAATGCAAGAGGAAATAAACATTTAAAACCTCATGACGTAACCCTTTTCCCCAGGTGAGGCGATGGTTGTAGGTGAAGTATCTCACCGAGGGCCGTCTTGGGGCGTGGAGACGTAGGGCGTGGGCTAGGTGGGAACAGGAGGAGCAGCGGGGCTGTGCCCCTAGGACAGCTGGTCACTGAGACTTGACCGATGATCTATTCCAGGGGCAGCAAGCGCCAGTGAGGGGTTCTCAGTCACGTGGTTGGCGGCGTTAGGGGGTGTTTGGTACCATAAAGGGTGGACAAGGAAGAGGATGAAGACCTTGCCCCGCAGAGGGAGAGAAGGAGGAAAGCCAGAAGAAAGGAAGGAAGAGGCAGCCCTGCGTTTGAAGCCTTGGCTCAGGAGCAGAACGGGTTGTTTTGGCCAAATGCCTGCGGTCGGGGGTTATTGGGATTGGAGGCAAAAAAGTCAGAGGCCGCAGGGTCATTAAGCCACGTCTTCGTGGCCAGGTTGTTTGTTCCAGGAGGGGTTGGACTTGGAAGGCTGTGGCATCTAGCACCCAGAAAATGTTTGTGCCGAGCACCCCAAGAATTAAGAGCTGCTGTTGAACTTTTTGGTGAACGGTTTGTCTTCTTCCTCTTTCATTTATGTACCTGAAGCCAACGGATCAATAGTGAGAATAGAAAATACCTTAAGTGGCTGTTATCCCCTCTGAGGGGATGTGCCCCTGAGGCACGATCTGGCAATGAAACCATTGGAAATGCAACTTCCCATCTTTTCCTCTAAAGCGCATGCTAACAGGTGAACCATTCACATGGCGTTTACTCAGCGAATTGCCAGTCTTCATTCTTTTCTATATATTCTAGCTGAGCTGCCATGTAATAAGGTAACCTCTACTGAGCGCATACCATGGACCAGGTTTTGTGTTATGTGCTCTGTGTGCATCGTTTCATTGAATCCTTTCAAAGCCCCCGTGACGAAGTTCATGTTATTATATCTATTGTATAAGCATGGAAACAAAGAGAGATCATGTAAGTTGCCCAAGTTCATACAGCTGGTACGTGGTAAAGCTGGGCTTCAAACCTAGACAGCTCTCAAAGCCTAAGATCTTAACCGCTATACCCACAAGAAATAGATTCCTACAGTTTCATTAAGGGATTTAAAACTCCCTTAAATGGACCAGTATTGGGGCACCTGGGTGGCTCAGTCAGTTGGGCTTCTGACTTCAGCTCAGGTCATGATCTCACAGCTCATGAATTCAAGCTGCGCACCAGGCTCTGTGCTGACAGCTCGGAGCCTGCAGCCTGCTTCAGATTCTGTCTCTGTCCCTCTCTGCCCCTACCCCATTTGTGCTCTGTCTCTCTCAAAATAAATAAACATTAAAACAAAAACCAGTATTCTTATCCTTGCCCCTTTTTACCCCATATTATTTATTTGGAAGATGCCCAGCTTTCCTCTGGTGATCACATCCTGAACGCCCATCACTACTCACCCCTGCCTGGCCATTGTGACTCCATTTTATGGTCCTTCTGGCTCTGTCAGCTACAAGCCAGTCTGCTTTCTTAAGAAACTTACCTAACCTTCCAGTGGATACATTTAAATGTCTCATGACATAAGGCCAATATAAATGGATTTCTCCACTTGTCTTATGAGGATAAGGTACCTGTTAAATTTAGATCAGCAAATATGTTGAGTACATTGCTCCTGGCCATAAGAAGCATTTTTTTTTTTAATTTTTTTTTCAACGTTTATTTATTTTGGGGACAGAGAGAGACAGAGCATGAACGGGGGAGGGGCAGAGAGAGAGGGAGACACAGAATCGGAAGCAGGCTCCAGGCTCTGGGCCATCAGCCCAGAGCCCGACGCGGGGCTCGAACTCACGGACCGCGAGATCGTGACCTGGCTGAAGTCGGACGCTTAACCGACTGCGCCACCCAGGCGCCCCAAGAAGCATTTTAATTTCATTGGAGTGGGGGCTGGGAGAGCATCAGACATATCAGCCAGTTCTAGTGCAAGGCAGATTAAAATGTGTTCATGATAGAGATTCAGGCAAACATGCTTTGGGAGCGTGCTAATTAACAAATAATTTATTGAGAACTTACTACATGCCAGGCCCCATGTTTATAGGCAACAGGAGATCACTAGTGGCCCTGAGGGACACAGCCCTTCTCTGGATCCCCTGCATACACCCTACTGGAATTCAGAAGGCAGAATGATTATGTGAACAAATTTTGTGTGTTGGATTTTCCAGCATTTTGTTAAAAGTTCACGCATAGAAAAGTTAAATGAATTTCATAGTGAATAATCATGTTTTCACCTTTTAGATTTTACCATTAACATTTTACTATTCTTGCTTTATCAAACACACGTGCCCACCCCTTTGTCCACCTATGCCTGTCTGTCTTCCAACTTTTCTGCAGTGGGCTGATAACTGCATTTATAACTCGGAAGGTGTTGCTATTTTAAGAGTATGGTAGTGTCACGTGCTGAGAATTATTCATCCTGTGATCAACCACAGCAGGTTGTTTTCCTTGAAAAGACTGAAGTCACTGAACATAAGGGAAATCTGATTTCCTTCTTTGTGAAAAAAAAAATGATAATGTTATGAAGATTAGGTGTCTGCCAAGAATAATACGTATTTGCTACAAATGATCAAGAACGTCATGTATTTTTTGAAAAGCCAGTGACAAAAGCATTAAAAAAAAACATATTAACCACTTTAAGTTAAAAAAAATTTTTTTGTGAGTTTTTGCCACTTTATGTAAGACATTTTGAGAATCTTTTGGGGGAAATGTTTTTGTTTTTGTTTTTGTTTTTTAAAGACAGGCCTTGGGATATGGGTGGCTCAGTTGGTTAAACGCCGACTCCTGATTCCGGCTCAAGTCATGATCTCAAGGTTCATTAGATAGAGGTCCTAGTGGGGCTCTGTGCTGACAGTGCAGAGCCTACTTGGGAGTCTCTCTCTCTCTCTCTCTCTCCGTCTCTCTCTGCCCCTCCACTGCTTGTGCTGTCTCAAAATAAATAAAATACATTAAAAAACATTTTTTTTTTAAATTTTTTTTTTCAACGTTTATTTATTTTTGGGACAGAGAGAGACAGAGCATGAACGGGGGAGGGGCAGAGAGAGAGGGGGACACAGAATCAGAAACAGGCTCCAGGCTCTGAGCCATCAGCCCAGAGCCCGACGCGGGGCTCGAACTCACGGACCGCAAGATCGTGACCTGGCTGAAGTCGGACGCTTAACCGACTGCGCCACCCAGGCGCCCCAAAACATTTTTTAAAAAAAAGGCATTATGCCCATGAATTACTACAGGGAGTGAGCAACTGATATGAAATAACTCCAGTAGAAGACTGACTTTGGTAGAATGTGAGGCCAGCAGGCTCTGAGGCCGGGGTCGTACATGGGCCAGGACTTTGACATAATTTGGGAAGCTGAGGAAGAAGGCTTTGTATGCAGATAGAGAGTATAGCGTGAGCGGAGGCGAGAGTGCAGGGAAGCTTGGGAACCTGAAGGTCGAAGGATAAAGCAGGTCAGTGGTGAGTAATGAGAATGGGGTTGCGACCAAGGAAAAGTTAAGTCCTGACTGACGGACTAAGGAGCTTGGAATTTACTCCCTGGGCAGAGAGAACTAATGAGGTGTTCTTAATCTTGTGGTTGACAGAGTCGGGAGGTGTTTGGTACCATAAAGAGCAGGGGAGGTATGACCCAGCAATAGCACTGCTAGGAATTGACCCAAGGGATACAGGAGTGCTGATGCATAGGGGCACTTGTACCCCAATGTTTATAGCAGCACTTTCAACAGTAGCCAAATTATGGAAAGCGCTTACATGTTCATCAACTGATGAATGGATAAAGAAGTTGTGGTTTATATATACAATGGAATACTACTTGGCAATGAGGAAGAATGAAATCCTGCCATTTGCAGCAACGTGGATGGAACTGGAGGGCATTATGCTAAGTGAAACAAGCCAGGCAGAGAACATCAGATACCATATGTTTTCACTCATATGTGGATCTTGAGAAACTTAACAGAAGACCATGGGAGAAGGGAAGGGGAAAAAAAAGA